CGGGCCGCCGGTAGTCACAGATGAACTTGTGGGCATCCAGGCGGATCTCCACCCAGTTGTTGAGCAGAGCAAAGAGGGGCGCCAGGGGACAGGCCGCCACAAAGATGGTGATGAAGCCAAACTGCAGAACTGGGCGGAAGAGGAGGAGGCGCAGGAAAGGACAGGCTGAGAGACGGCAGTGACAGCTGCGGCGTCTCCCGGCCCTGTCCCGTGGGGAACGGGGCAGCCCCTCTCCTTCCAGCACCCGTGGACTGCTTGTCTCCCGCAGCTGGTCCCTTCCTCTGGGGACCTCCTGCAGCTCCTGTCTCTCCCCACCAGTTTTCTCTCTCCCAGCACTTCAGCCCTCCTCACCCTGAGGCCGGTCCCTACCCATCTCCAGGTACTCGTCAAACAGCCCCTCGAACACCAGCAGCTGGTGGTCCATCACCCAGGGTGCCTGCTCCACCGGGACTGACGTCCCCTCCTCATCCTCCTTCTTGGTGGAGAAAAGCTTGTGCTTGTGCCACCAGCACTTCAGCTTCCTGGGGAGACCAGAGGGGCCATGTCCCCCACTGCAGCCAGCCGGCACTCCTCAACGTCCCCTCGGCTGAGCCCCACAGCGCACCCATGCCCCAGAGCCCCCGTGCTGTGCGGGCTGGGGGGTGTGCAATGGCCCCGGCGAGCCAAGGTGTACTCACGGGATGGCCACCTCCTGCACGTTGTTGATGATCTGCTTCCCCACCATGATGACCAGCAGCTCCTGCGCCAGCTCGATGAAGCACCCACCTGGGCTGCACTGAGAGGAGGAGGCCCTCAGCTTGCCGGGTCTGGCACATGGGGATCAGAGGACCCCAAGCACAGAAACGCATCCCCGCAGTGTGCGCTGGCCCCAGCTGGGGTAGCAGGCACGGCACCTCTCCCGCCTGGCACTCACCTCCTCGTTGCGGACCCCCAGAAAGCTCAGGTAGTTCCCGGGATAGCCAACAAACCTGCGGGAGCCACAGCAGAGCCGTGAGTGGGGATCTCAGGCGCTGAGCCCAGGGATGTGTCCGGAGCGGCCCTGGGGAAGGAAGGGCTCTTTCTGGGTCACCCAGAGCTCTCTTCTCTTCTCCCTCACCAAGGGGGACAAAAGGGCTGGTGGTGGGGGCCTCTGATGGAGAGGGTCCCCCAGTCCTGGACTGGGACCAGCTGCACCAGTTAGCTCACAGCAGGATGGCACTGCCCTCACCCCCAGATGCCCTGTGAGGGCTCCCGCTCTCTGGTGGGACATGTCCCCCCCACCACAGTGCTCCTTGCCCATGATGGCAGCAGCACTCCCCTGTCCTTCAGCCCTGCAAAGCCCAGAGACCCCAGGGGCTGCAGGAGATGGGGAAGACCTCTGCTTTCCCCAAAGGCCTTACTTGCCCTTGAAGAAGGCGATGTAAATGGGAGAGGAGTAGAAGGTGACAAACTGGAAGATGAACACTTTGAAGGTGAAGGCGTCCTCATACTTGGTCTGGGTGCGGTGCATCTCTGCCAGGGGGAAGCACGGGGACGTGACCCTACACCACTCCAGGATGCTCTTCCACATCATTGCAGAAGTCACCCCACATCGCTCGACTCTCACCAGCCCCCTGCAGCCGGGGGTCCCCAAACCTGCTGTGGTACCCATGAAGGTACCTGCCACTCATCCAGAGCCTGGAGACACCCATCTACCGCATCCCAGCAGCAAGCTTGTTGGGTGTGGTGCTCTGCCCTTACTGACTGCTCCTGCACCGCCCAGTTTGCAGGACCCTCGTCAGCTTACCCCACTTGGTGAGGAAATGAGCCAGGGAAGTATAGATCTTGGAGAGGATGAGGATAATGATGAGGTTCACCACTGAGCCAGTGATGCTGGCAATGCGGGATGCCTACAGGGAGAAGGAACACACAGAACATGGAGGGTGGCAAGCAAGCCCAGCAAGCGAAGCAGGTCCAGGAGTGGCTCTGGCCACCTCTTACCGAAGCCACAAACCAGAAGTACCCTGAGCTGGAGAGGAGGATGGCAACCACGGCCCGGTAGAGGATAACGGAGACCACAAACATCACCACCATGGCAATCTGCAAACACAGCACATGGGGTATGAGCAGCTTGTGTTGGGAAGGAAAACTCCACCGTTAGCCCAGGACGCTACAAGTCCCAGGGGAGGTCCAGGGTGGACAGCTGGGTCTGGGCACAGCGGGGGGCAGGCTGAGCTGGTAGAGAGCCACAGGTTCCACCACGGACCAGCGACACTTGTGTTCATCCCCAGCTTAACCCATGCTCTTACCCCAGACATCATTGCACCATGTCCCTCTGTCCTGGGGCAGCTGGGCAGACACTGCTCCAGGCCCCACAATCTTACCATCATTATAATGATCATCGAACCAGCCAAAATCCGGTGGAGGCGGCTGCTCTTGGGGAAATATGGCTCCTCCGCACCCGTTACAGGATTTATTATCGTCATGGGAGCCATGGCCGTGAACTGGGGCCGTGGCCTCTCCTGGGAAAGAAGGGGAAAGGCATCAGGGATGCCTGGTGTCTTTGGTCCATGCAGTTTTGGGAGGCGCTGCAGAGGGCAAGACCCCACCTCAATGTCCTCGAACTCAAAGCAGTCCCAGTGGTGAGCCAGGGATGCATTGGTTCGCTTCCAGAACTCCAGGAACAGCACTGCCCACAGGGACATGAAGATGCTGAAGAAGATGGTCCCACCATGGTCAAAGAGCCGTCCTGCCTGTGGGCAGAGCAGGACTGAGGGACAGGCAG